CTACAGAAAGATTATCTTACTGAATGCTTTAGAAATTGACAAACTGCTGAAATTTTACTGAACTGAATTGACTAAGAAAATTGTTAGAAACGACTATAGAGAATTAACAGAGCTTTCAATAATATTCCTTGGTGGAGATACAGAAAAGAAATTTAAGAATCGACCTCCAGGTGCCATGCACCAAGCGCGATGGATGGCGAGGACAATTTATTTATTAAAAATTTCATTACTTAGCTCTCAATTTACAATGCCTAACAAGGATAAAACGGCTCTGTTAGCCGTCTGCCTGTTCATCGTGACATCCTACGTCAAACCTTGGCTGCAATGTATTTCAGCAGTAAAAGCACCTTACCAGGATTTGTGTTTTGTAAAGACCATGAAGAAACAAATGACAAAATTATCTCAAAAACATTTAAACAAAAGTTCTGTCAGCATTTATGGTATTTAATTGATGAAGTGGCTGTCTTGTCCCTATTTGACGATGATTTCAAATATAGTTAATAACTTAGCCAAAGAAAACCCATCAGCCCACAGTAAACGATCTACCCCTTCAAAAGATAAACTTTGTGGTTCACTTTACGAGAAAAACATCGATGACTTTATTTCATTCAAAAGCAAGGCTTTGTTTAATCGACTCAAAATTGATGAAAGTTTTCTCAACGAACGTCCTACTTCATGGTCTAGTAATGCTTCATTTCAATATGCCAAAAACAAGGTGCTGACACTGAGAGCAGTTAATGATGCAGCAGAAAGAGCGGTTAAGTTAATACAAGACTTTCATCGCAAAATCATTGTTGAAGACGAACAAAAGGAATTTTTACTACGCTGCGTACAAGAACACAGATATGTTTATCCTGACTGTAACAAACAAACCCTAAAAAGAAAATTAAATAATTAACATCATTTTAATAATAAATACTTAACAAATATATGATACCGGTAAAATAGTGTTTTATTTACTGAATAAACATGAAGGTCTTAAATGTCTTCTATAGTTTCAATACAAACTTTCTGTTAAAAGTTTGGGATAATATTTATTATTTTAGTTTCTAGTATCAAATAGAAAAAAATAAGAGGTATGCGTATTTTAAATCGAAAAAAAAAATTTCGCCCTTATACCCACCATAATATACATACTTAATTTTTTTTTTTATCTTTCCTTCATCTCTTTTTATTTTTTATATCAATTTAATTTGATTTTTATTTATATTTATATTAAATTTAATTTTAATTCAACTTATTTCAATAGCAAAAAAAAAATAAGTAAATTTTATAGCAAACCTGCTATTTGCATACAAAACCACGTATGCAAATGAGTAATTCAAATCCTCCCCCAGAGAGAAGACATACAATAAGCATTCCAAACAAACGTAATGCTTATCTAGTAATAGACGTATCAAACAAGTTGCCCCCAGAAGACTACACAAACCGATAAAAGCTTACCAAACATTGAATCTTCAGCAGCATCGCCTGCATTTTCCGACTTAACGAGTCCAAAAATAAAACTAAAATCCAAACAGGCATGGAACGCTATGTCAATATTAAACGAAAACTTAGTCCTCAAAAAAGCAACTTAAGAGGTACAAAAATAAACAAAATTAACAAAGATAGTGCCGCTCTTATACCCGCTCTTCAAAACCATTTGGGAAACAGAAACTTATCCTTCTGACTGTCTTCATGGCATTGTAATCAAAATACCCAAGAAAGGAGACTTAAGTGACTGTAACAACTGGCGCGGCATTACGGTTCTAAGTTCTGTGATGAAAATATTTATGAAAATTATTCTAGAAAGAATGGTAAAAGTTGTTGAAGTACTATTACGACCAGAGCAAGCGGGTTTCAGAAGCGGAAGATCCTGTGTTGACCACATTAACAGTCTTAGAATTATCATAGAACAATCTATAGAGATGCGATCCCCTCTTTATCTATTTTTCATCGATTTTGAAAAGGCGTTTGATTCGTTAAATCGAAATTGCATATGGGCAGAGTTGAAAACTATTGGTGTCCTAGCTAAAATAGTCTCAGTAATTGCATAAAACTATGATCAATTTAAGTGCCAGTTTTACACGACAACAAACTGTCACAGCCCTTTTGTACAATTTCTGGCGTACGTTAAGGATGCATCCTTTCCCCACTGCTATTTCTAATTGTGCTTGACGCAGTGGCCAAGAAAGCAAATAAAGGAAAGGTACGAGGTATTGTATGGAACCCACTGTCACCGAACACTAGGCTAGAGTGTTTGGACTATGCTGATGACAAATGCGAGTTGTCACATCGGCTTGATGATACGCAACAGAAACTTAATGACCTATCTTTTGAGTCGTACAAAGTCGGACTAAAAATCAATGCACAGAAAACAAAAGAAGTTCGAATAAACAATCGAATTGACGAACCTTTGAAGTTGGAAATGGAGACCATTGAGCGCGTAAATGAATTCCAGTATCTAGGGAGTATTGTGTCTAAAAATGGAGGTACAGCGCAAGATGTGATAAGAAGAATAGAGAAAGCCCTTGGTGCTTTTACAAGGCTTTGTAAAGTGTAGAGCTCCACTACCTATAGTTTAAGCACAAAGATAAAAATCTTTATTTAAAGCATGCGTTCTTTCAGTTCTCCTGTATGGTTGTGAAACCTGCAGGGCGATTCCACTAATCGCTATCGCTAAAACTCCAATCTCTTCGCTAAAATTCTTAAATAAGCGATTCGCTTATTTTAGGAGAATTAGCGATCGTGCGATTCTGCTAACACAATCTCTTCGCTAAATTTATCCGGCGATGCGGAAAATGCTGAAATGCACTGAAATGTCAAAATAAATACAAAAATTGTCAGCTGTTGGACTTATAATTTAAATTTGAATTTAAATTTAAAAGCACATACTTCAACAAAAAATATTTAGCAATTGCGAAATTAAAATTAATATTCAATTAATATAACATTGGTGTGCGAATTAATTAAATAATGGACTTTTTGATAAGAAGGAGATTTGTTTTTTCTGGTTATGTGAGAGATTCACGGAATCATTTACATTGGAAAAGAAAATGTTTGCGGAATTCTACAGACCCCTTCGCTATATCTGATGCGCGTTTTATTGAAATATTTCGTCTTTCGAAATATTTATGTAAGCTTTTCTTGGCAGAAATAACTCCGTACATGGTACCGAGAAGACGATCAGATGGAATTTCAAGGGACATACGCGTACTTGTTGCATTGCGCTTTTTTGCTCAAGGTAAGTTGATATTTAATAATTGCAAAAAAAGTGAATCAATTATGTTAATTTATAGGATGTTATCAGCGTTGTGTGGGCCAAAGCTCTTTGTTAAATGTTTCTCAGGCAGTTGTTAGTAGATGCGTTAAGCAGGTTGCAAATATAATGAATCGGTATTTTGTAGTAAAGTACATCAAATGGCCCAGAACAATTCAGAAATTATGCGCTATAAAAGAGAAGTATATCTTCGAAATCTTGTGTTAAAATACAATGTAGTTAATCGACAATTATTTGCAGATTTTATGAAAAGTTTCGGTTTCCAGGGGTAATTGGTGCAATTGATTGCACTCATATAAAAATTAAAACCCCGAACTTAGCTATTGAGCATGTGTATGACTGCAGAAAAGGAGGACATTCGCTAAATGTTCAAGTGGTATGATTCAAATTTAATTTATTTACATACTATAATAATACGCATTAATTTTAGGTATGCGATTATAATCTAAAAATTTTAGATTGTAATGCTCGCTTCGGCGGCACTGCACATGATGCATCCATATGGAGAGCCAGCGCCTTACGAGTGCTTCTTACTCGAAAGTACGAAAATGGGGACCGAAATTTCCGGTTAATAGGTAAAACTTGATTGTACATTAATTTTTTTGAGAAACTAATTCTGTTTTAATTTTTAGGAGATAGCGGTTATCCCCTCTTACCCTTTTTGATGACACCTGTTCAAGGAAATAATTTGTCGACGGCACATAACAATTATAATGTGCAACATCGAAAGGCGAGAAATTGGATTGAGCGTTGTTTCGGATTATTAAAAAGTAGAATTCGTTGCTTTAGTAGCGAAAGAACTTTAATGTATGATCCTGAAACAGAGGGCAAAATTGTTAATTCATGTTTGGTTCTACATAACTTCATTATTACACATAATATAATGAACGAAGTTAATGATGTTGACTGCGCAGAAAACACGGACGAAGAAATAAATGAAGATAATGACTTTGAAGCACAAGAACCCGTCCCTGAAGCGTTTCTAGTAAGAGAAGAAATAATCAATAATTATTTTCAATATTATTTGGGTTTTATTTAATTGACTTTTTATTAAAAGTTTAAATATATATTTATTTATATTGTTATTTTCGTTTTATTTATTAATAATAAATTGTTATTATGACCAATACTCAACACTTTTTTATTAATACTCTGGCCTTAGGTCGTTAATTTAACACATAAAAATTACACTTATAAATTTGTGTTAAATATTTAATTGTATTTCAGTTTTTATAAAAACTTATTTGTATTACAAATATTTGGGTCTACTTCGTAGACCATCTTCAATGCCCAACGAGGAAGAAAAACCTTAAAAATAAACAATAATTTTATTAATAAAAAAGCGCAAATTTCCACATCACCCCTGAGATATTGCACATAATGCGTTAACCAAATTCTTTTATATGGCTGGTTCCCCAGTAGTCCTATCCACCATAAAAAGCTTACATTAATTCTATTCTATGTATTAAAATTATTAATTGCATCCGCTAACAGTTTTATAACATCTGTATGCTCTTTAGTGGCCTGCACGCGTTCGTCCGCAATCTCCTTCTCTTGTTTGAGCTTTCTTTCCTCCAGCTCAAGTCGACGCTCCTCAAGCCTCAACCTTTTCTCCTCTAACTCGACGAACTTTTGGTTGGTCTGTTCTAATGAGGGATTTCACTTTCGTTGCTTGGCTGGACGAATAAGTCGAATAGGCACACAACCCTCATCGTTACCCCCAACAGATGGACCTGAACCGCTTGAAAGTTCCTTTCCCTCGTCAAGGCACTTAAATTAATCATTTATTAGATTAATAATTAAAAAATATAAGAAAAATAAAAGCGATAATAAGGCATTCGCCTCCAATACTTACCTCTAAATCATAACAACCTGAAATGTCACTTTCAAAGTGCATTGCTGGCTCGCAGACATCTTCCGTGCCTTGCACCGCTACTGGATGCATTACTGCAATAATCCGTTCATCTAGATCAGTTAAATCCTTAATGCCAACGGACGCATTTCCAGTCAGTCCCATTGCATGTTTATAGTCCTGTACTTTCTTCTTGCTTTTGGATCTAAAATTAAACAATGGAGTTTTTTTATTTACAATTTTTCAATATAGTTTCTACAACTATAAAATTAAAAGCAACGATGTTATTTTACATGTTTTTATGTATAATTCTTTTATATATATATATATATACATATATTATTAACTGTTAATATATCTTATTTTAATTTTTAACTACTTACTTCATGTTGACCCATGCCTTCTTCCAACCATTGGCATCTTTAACTGCTCCACCAACGGCATTTAAAATAGCAGCTAGAGAGCTCCACTGTTCATTAAGACTTCGCGCACCATGATCTGACACAAATCTGTCATGAGCGAAATCTTTATGCTCTTCCATATGCTGGACCAGCACTTGTTTCTGCTCCTTGCTTATTCGTTTTGACTTTAAGTCCACGAATTCCATCATAAATATCTAAAAATTAAATAATAAATAAAATATATTAAATCTTATATGTATTAATATGTATATAATTATTCATTTTGTTCACTGTTTCACTTGGAATTCATTTATTTTTGGTACAAAAATAAAAATATGAAAAATAAAATACATTTGTTTACATTTGCTGAACACCAAACGCACTCTCACTATATTACTGCCACAAAATTTTTGTAATATTAATTTTTTTTTTCATTTTACTTTAAATGCAAAATTTATTTCTATCACAATTACTTTATTAATAAATAAATATGAATATTATACTAAATACATACAAAATAATTGCTCAATTTGTTTAAAAAATAATATTTTCACTTTAAGCGACAGCAAAAACCTAGTCGCCAAAAACAATCAAATTAGGAGAAATTTTAGTCGTTTTTAACGAAATTTAGCGATTACCAATTTAGCAGAATACGAAATTTGGCGATTTAGCGATTTATCCGGAAAAATCAGCTGTTTTTGAAAGTTGAGAAAATTAGCGAATAGAAATTAAGCGCAACGAGTTAGCAGAATCGCAAAAATCGCTAAAATGCATTTAAAGAATTTTAGCGATGAAGTTTTAGCGATAGCGATTAGTGGAATCGGCCTGCTGGTTTGTTACAGAAAACATACAAAGCATGCTGAGAGTATTTGTTAACCGCTGTCTCCGCAGAATTTTACGTATCTTCTGGCCAAACAGAATATCAAATCATGATCTTTGGATCAAAACAAATGTTAGAGATGTCAATCTTGAAATTCGTAAAAGAAAATTTGGATGGATCGGGCATATACTTCGAAAAGCTCCCACCGAAATTTGTCAACAGGCGTTGGTATACAACCCGTAAGTTAGGAGAGGAAAAGGTCGTCCAAAAACAATATGGAGAAGGTCAACGTTGAATGAAATAAACACCATTTTGCAGGAAATCTTTTAACGAACTTAGAGCAATAGCTCGGCAGCGTAATAACTGGAAAGCATTTGTAAATTCTATAATATAAATTTGATGTACTTAAAATGTTCTTTGTAATTAAACTAAATTTATAATTTTGTTAAAATATAAATATGTCCTAATAATAAAGGTGGAAATGTTAAAATTCTTCCAAATGACTATGTAACCATCTTAGAAAGCCACATTACAGATCGAAACTTTTATGTCAAATATAAAAACAATTACTATTCAATCAAGAAAGCCAATGCTGGAATTCTCAGGGAAGTGTTTTAGGCCCGCTACTATACCAGATTTAAACAGCAGACATGCATTGCGGAAAATTACAATGCAATGACAGCAACTTTTGCGAATGGCACAATATTTTCGGCACATAAAAACATCTCTAATGTAACCGAACAACTACATTGAACTTTAAACAAAACAAAAGACTGGTTCGACAAATGGAAAATTAAAATTAATGGAGACAAAACATCGCAAGTCATTTTCACAGCACAACGAAAATTCTCGTCCATACCGATAATACTGAATAATACGCAGATCCCATTTAAATATTAGTTAAATACCTGGGCATACATCTCGATAACAAATTTGCACATAATTAAAAAGAATAAGTGAATGAAAGAAAAATGCATTGTTTTTCTCAACTGGCTTCTAAGCAAAAAATTTAAAATCTAAGAAATAAAATACTTTTGTATAATGCAATTATTAAGCCCATTTGGACTTATGGTAGCCAAATTAGGGGAACATCAAAAAAAATCCACCAGCGCCAAGATAGCAACGATGCTAAGAGGTCCAAACCAGAAATTTTTAAACTTCATTTTATTAAATACAATCTATTCTATTCATGAATAATAAGTACTACTTATGGCAATAACAATATATGATTGGCATGTACGGGACTACCCAGTGGTAATCACCGCCTTATGAAGAATTACAATTTCTAGAATCTGTTCGGCAAATCAGAAGTTGCGAAGCGTAATAATCTACGAATGTTAAAAGTATCCCTCGTTAGGCCTGCGGCAAGGGAGTTAGGATGAACTACCAGTCGTGAGTGATAGTTGCTGCTTATCTGCTGTATTGACTCGTACACAGTACGGATGCCAAAATCATGATGTAAGACGTTATTCGGGATAAACCATGGGGCGTCGGCGCAGATACGTAGTATTTTTGATTGAAACCTCTGAATCATATCTAGGTTTGACTTTGCTGCTATACCCCAGATGGGTATACCGTACGTCCAGATTGGCTTGAAGACGACCTTGTATAAAAGTATTTTATTTTGTAGCGATAATTT